CCCCTCCCTCACCCCCTCCCTCACCCCCTCCCTCACCCACCGCAGGCTCTCTTGGCCGCTCTGCGGACCAGCAGCTCCGTGGAAATGGATCAGTGTGTGTGGAGCCTGGAACCAGCGGCCAGAGACGGTCTGACCTGGACTGGTCTGGACCATGTGGATCTCAGCTTCAGTACCAGTTGACGTCTGACCTGGACTGTTCCGGACCATGTGGAACTCAGAGTCAGTACCAGGGGAGGTGTTACCTGGACTGGGCCGGACCCTCTGGACCTCAGAGTCAGCACCAGTGGAGGTCTGACCTGGACTGGTCCGGACCATGTGGACCTCAGAGTCAGTACCAGTGGAGGTCTTACCTGGACTGGTCCGGGCCATGTGGACCTCAGAGTCAGTACCAGTGGGGGTCTGACCTGGACTGGGCCGGGCCATGTAGACCTCATCGCCAGTACCAGAAGACGTCTTTCCAAGCCTGGTCCGGACCATGTGGACCTCAGAGTCAGGACCAGTGGAGGTCTGACCTGGACTGGGCTGGACCATGTGGACCTCAGAGTCAGTACCAGTGGAGGTCTTGGTCCATTTTTGATTTTTCCACATGATGTTGTTTATGTTTAGATTTATTTTATAATATAATGTTGGAGGTGAAGGAAAAATTAAGAAGGTTAAAGGTTAAAGGTTAAAGGTTAGTGTGTTGAGAAGATGAAAAAAAAACAGGACATGTGTGTGTGTGTGTTCACGTGTTCGTGTGTGTGTGTGTGTGTGTGTGTTTGTGTGTGTGTAGACAGTGAGGTGTTGACCCTCCAGACTGTTGAAAATGACTGTATTGATCTGAGCCTCTACTGCAGCCCGTGTGTGTGTGTGTGTGGTTGTCTGGGTCAGATGTGGATCTGGATCTGAGACCAGGTCCAGGTCCAGGTCCAGGTCCAGGTCCAGGTCCAGGTCCAGACCTCCACAGTCCGACCTCATGAATTCATTGTCAGAGTCAAACTGTATGGAAACTTGTTCTTGGTTTTTATTGGACGTTGATCACATCACGTGACTGAAAATCTCTCTCTGGTCAGAATGTTTGTACCATTTATGCCCCGCTGTGGGGCAGAAGCTGAAGGCAAATCAAACACAGGTTAAAGTCTCGTCGTTTGACGTTGGACCAACAGTCCTCGGATCCCGGTCGTTCTTTTAATAATTGTCGTTTGTCTCCATCTAGTGGTGATGGTTCAGAAAAGTAAAAGGTTAACGTTGCCTTGTCTTGTCAATCAAACTCGTCTGTTTATTAGTTAAACAACAAATTTATTTTATATAAAAACGTAATAAAATGAAAACGTTGATCTGGAGGATTTTCACTGTCGCTGTCTCCACGTCACTTCACGACACTGATGAAGACTTTTCGGCAGCGATCTTCTCTAGTGTGATTCTTCCCTCACTCGTCTGTTCACAGTGTCGTCATTGTTATAAACACGTCACTGATGTTCCTATGAAACAAAGACAAACGTCGATTGATTTGAATTTAGTTTAACTTTTATATTTATGAGCCATAAAAATCTAATTAAAGATCAGAAATCTGACACGTCACGTGTCACGTGTCTGTTGGATTCCTCAGTTCATCGTGACGACGACGAGCAGGTGAAGACAGAAACGTCCGGAGCAGGAAGCACCTGAACGTCTCACCAACAACGTGACTTTGACCGGTCTCTGTATGGACGTCACACTGAGTGTCCTGCCCCCCCCGCCCCCCCCCCCCCGTTCAATGTTAGGACGTCCGCTTTGCCACAGTGACAGAGTCCCAGCCTGCTGCACTGCTGTGCTCTGCCCGGGCTGGAGGGGAAGGGCGTGGGGTGGGGAATTATATATATTGTATTATTTGTCATGTATTAAATGCATTTCAAGCCTGGATTTGTCCAGTTCTCTGACCTCACTTCCTGTTGCTTCACTGGTCACATGACAGTGAACGACTGGTCCCAGTCAGACTGGAGTTTCCCTCAGGACTCAGGTCATCTGGACCAACTGACCGACTGACCGACCGCCTGACGGACTGACTGACTGAACGACTGACGGACTGACTGACTGACTGGCTGACCGACTGACTGACCAACTGACCGACTGACCGACTGACTGACCAACTGACCGACTGACTGACTGGCTGACCGACTGACTGACTGAACGACTGACTGACTGACCGACCGACTGACTGACTGAACGACTGACGGACTGACTGACTGAACGACTGACGGACTGACTGACTGACCGACCGACCGACCGACTGTCTGACTGACTGACTGAACGACTGACTGACTGACTACTGACTGTGTGTTGTCAACAATTATCACGGTACAGGGACAACAATATGATATATCATGAAGTACTGTGATACTACATTACTTCATGATGTACTGTGATACTACATTACTTCATGATGTACTGTGATACTACATTACTTCATGATGTACTGTGATACTACATTACTTCATGATGTACTGTGATACTACATTACTTCATGATGTACTGTGATACTACAGTCACGATGATACCATTGAGTTTTGAGGATATCAATACAGTATCAGGAAAGAAAATATTGCAGTATTTCAGTGGATGGGTATTTTTCCACAGCCCTACTGATCACTGAGGTCAGAGGTCAGAGCTAAATGAATCACTGTGACAACCATGTGTCGACTGTAGTGCCCCCCCCCCCGCCGACTTCCTGTACTCCACACTCACACTGACATGACTTCCTGCAGAACAGCGCCCTCTAGAGGACCACGAGAATAAACAACAGTTAATGTGACTTCATCCTCTCGTCTGTGAAGCAGGATTTACACCAGGAGTATACTGTAGTATAGGTACTTCAATGAACCCAGAGTATACTGTAGTATAGGTACTTCAATGAACCCAGAGTATACTGTAGTATAGGTACTTCAATGAACCCAGAGTATACTGTAGTATAGGTACTTCAATGAACCCGGAGTATACTGTAGTATAGGTACTTCAATGAACCCAGAGTATACTGTAGTATAGGTACTTCAATGAACCCAGAGTATACTGTAGTATAGGTACTTCAATGAACCCGGAGTATACTGTAGTATAGGTACTTCAATGAACCCGGAGTATACTGTAGTATAGGTACTTCAATGAACCCGGAGTATACTGTAGTATAGGTACTTCAATGAACCCAGAGTATACTGTAGTATAGGTACTTCAATGAACCCGGAGTATACTGTAGTATAGGTACTTCAATGAACCCGGAGTATACTGTAGTATAGGTACTTCAATGAACCCAGAGTATACTGTAGTATAGGTACTTCAATGAACCCGGAGTATACTGTAGTATAGGTACTTCAATGAACCCGGAGTATACTGTAGTATAGGTACTTCAATGAACCCAGAGTATACTGTAGTATAGGTACTTCAATGAACCCAGAGTATACTGTAGTATAGGTACTTCAATGAACCCGGAGTATACTGTAGTATAGGTACTTCAATGAACCCAGAGTATACTGTAGTATAGGTACTTCAATGAACCCGGAGTATACTGTAGTATAGGTACTTCAATGAACCCGGAGTATACTGTAGTATAGGTACTTCAATGAACCCAGAGTATACTGTAGTATAGGTACTTCAATGAACCCGGAGTATACTGTAGTAGTACGGGTACTTATTTGTTTGTTTGTTTATTTGTTGTTTGTGTGTTTGTTTGTGTTGACTGCAGACTGTGATTCCTCTCTGACGACCTCTGCTGGAGGAGCTTGAACTGCAGAATGTTCTGGAACAGAACAGAGTTGTTTGGTTCTGATTCTTTCTAAAACAAAGCATCGTTTTGTTTTAACGCTGATAAAATGTCTTTTATCTTGATCTTTAATTTAACGTGTTGATGCACAGAGTGTCCGGTTGGTGGCGCAACGACGGAGCCTGCGTCCTGTCCCCGTCCTACTGTATATATTTAAATGTGTGCGGTCTGTAGACCGTGTTATTCTCAGTGACTGTTCTGGAAATCCCCCACCTAGTTGTTGACTCCGCCCCTCCGCAGCTGCACTACCACAGACCGCCGCCGACACAGCACAACCAAGCGCACCTCGTCGCGAACGACAACACAGTACAATGGACCTCCATCGGACCAGTATATTGAACCAGATGGATTATAACCGAGAGTCGAAGGACGGGAAGGCGGCTCCGTCGACGGACGAACGGCTGGACAGCGGCCTGGACTCGCTGAAGGAGGAGGAGTACCAGGCGGTGGCGGAGGAGATCCGCCGGCTCCGGGTGGACTCTGAGCCGCCCCAGCACAAACACGCTCCCCCAGACAACAAGGAGCAGCAGCCGGAGTGGAAAACACAGATCACGGAGGACGGAGACACGTAAGTCCGAGCAGAGAACTCTCTGAGTGTAGTACTATCAGTATAAGAGTATTTCCCCCAGCAGCAGTACTGCACTGGGCCTAGTTCTTCTCTCGGAGGAAACTTGATCCCTGTCCTGTGGAGAACGGTTTCCCGGTAGGCTGTCATTAAAACACTGAGGCCTAGCTTTTAGTCGACTTTCAAGTCGCTACTACATTTGTTAAAAACTCGACCAATGAGCGGCGGTCGCGTCCTGTTGGTCGACGTTCTCTTCGCGGTCATCGCCGCTGGTGCTGGACGTAAACAAAAGGCCATTATCGCGGCGGAATCATCTTCTATGGCCGCGGGTCAGGCTGGGAAAGTCCCAGGCGCGCCGCCAAACAATCCGACGGACACGCGCAACTGTGAAACTCGAAGAAGGGGAAAAACGAGAAAAAAGTCCTTAAATGACATCCGTGGAGGAGGGCGGTGAAATCCTACACCGAACAGTCGACCGTGGAGTGTTGCTGTAAAAACCCGGGGGAATAACGTGAAAATAGTCCCAAAAAACCCCGGACCTTATCGACTAACGACCAACTACAGAGTCACGAGGTGAAGCTGGTCCTGAACAGAACCACCGACCGGGTTCTCTGTTCAACGACGTCAGTAAACTGAATAAAGACAACAAAAAAAAAAAAAAAAAAACCAACAACAACAAATATTTGTACTCGCTCAGTGAATTCACAAAACAAAGCTGCAAAAATACATGAATTCATTATTTTTCGTACTACAAAAACACAGGAATATTTGACCGTAAAAACGTCAGACTTTATTTATGACTTCATTCTAATTATTGTCTCATTAATGAACTCCAAGAGTTTATATATGAAATACTGTGATACTGTACTGTAGTACTGTTGTCAGACAATGTGTATGAAGTACCAGGTACCACTAGATCAAGGTTGAACAATGT